GAGTGTTCTATTACTGCCTCTGACCTACATATGTTTTTGTTTCTTTTTGTATTTATATCTTTCCTTCCTCAGCATGATACATCTTAATAAAGAAAACCAACACAGACATACATACTCTACAATCATGCTAGTAATATTTTCCTACTTTCAAGCATTTGTGCATCGAGAATGGGTTTGTTTTCTAATTACACAGATTAATGTTGGCAAAACTGAAAAGCAAATAAAAAAGAAGCATCAAGAAATGAGTTCATTTTTCTTTAATTTTGAATAGCATTTGTAGCATTTAGGCCTTTTTCTGATGATAAATAGCATATGCTTATTGTAGAAAATGTATAAAAACAAATGCACAAAGAGGAAAAAAAGCCCATAAGGATTTCACCATCCAAAAATACTGACTGTTGTGTTGACTTCTTTGTGCTCTCTTCTGCACACTCTCTCTCTTGCCCTCCCTTCCTCATCCTTTCTCCTTCAAAACATTTTCAGAATATCTGTTTATTAAAATGTATCCTGCCGAAAGGACATTGGCCAAGGCAGCAACAGAACACATATATATCCACAATGCTCCTCATTATTTCTCACTCATAATATTAGACTTGATTATTTGAATTTGACTTTTTAGCTATCTAATTTTAAAGTTTAAAATCATCATTAGCCTTTTAATAATTAGAAAAAGTTGAGATCTACTAATGGGAGCTCAAAACAGATACTATTTGATTACTTCACATAATAGCTATATTTTCCAATAAAATAACAGAAAATATTATCTGTGAGGAAATGGATAACTTGATTGTATTTTCTTTGTAATTAATGTCCTTGGGTATCTTTATTTAAAAATTATCTTGTGGTGAAACTTACTTTTTTCTTTTGGTTGCAAAGTTCTATGAATTTTAACACATGTATAGATTTGTGAAAACAACACCAAAATCAGACTACATAACAGTTCCACCACCCCCCAAAACTCCTTCATGCTATCTCTGTATAGTCACACCTTCACCCCACCCTCACCTGGCAACACAGATGTGTTCACCATCACTGTAGCTCAGTTGTTTTGAAAATGTGGAATAAATGAAACCATATAGTATATAACCTTTTGAAACAGGCTTAGTTCTCTCACTCAGCATAATGTCTTCAAAATTCATCCAAGTTGTGTGTATTAATAATTTGTTCCTTTTTATTGTTGAATAGTGTTTCATGGTCTGGGTGTGCCACAGTTTGTTTATCCATTTGTTTTTTGAAGAACATTAGGGTGGTGCTCAGCTATGACTGTCACAAATAAAACTATGAACAATCATGTACAGATTTTTTATAAACCAAATTTCATGTTCCTAGGGTATATACATTAGGAGTGGGATGTCTGGAGGTCCTATAGTAAGTATATGTGAATTTCCAGTTCTGTATGCTTGGAAGCACTTGGTACTGCCAGTATTTTTAATTGTAGCCATTGAAATAAGTATTTAAATAATGATGTCTTATTGTGTTTTTAGTTTGCTTTTTCCTAATGGCAAATGATGCTGACTGTCTTTTTAGGTGCTTATTTGTCATCTTCCTATTCTCCTTGGTGAAGTATCTGTTCAAGTCCTTTATCTATTTTTAATTTTTTGTTATTATTGAGTTTGGGAGATCTTTATATGTTCTGGATAAAATTCTTTGTTAAATATGTATTTTTCAAATATATTCTCCTAGTCTACATCTAGTCTCTTTATTCTCATGGCAGTGTCTTTGGAAGAACAAGAGTTTTTTGATGGAAGTCCAATTTACCAATTTTCTTTTTAATGGATGGCCCATTTGGTGGCACTTCTAAGAACTCTTTGTCTAGCCCCACTAAGATTTATCCCATATTTTCCTCTAACACCTTTCATAGTTTTATGTTTTTCATTTCAATCTATGATCCATTTTGTGTTAATCTCTATTAACTTTATATAATTCTTTATAAAAGATGTGAACCTTATATTAAGGTTTATTTCTTTTTCTATGGATGACCAAGTGTTCCAAAACCATCAGTTGAAAAGAATATCTTTTCTTCACTGAACTGTGTTTACATGTTGTCAAAGATCAAATGGCTATATTTGTGTGAGTCTATTACTGGACTTTCTATTTTGTTCCATTGATCTCTGGGTCTATATCTCTGCTCTGGGTCTTTTTAAACTAAAAAGCAGACATAGTTGTCATATGTCATGAGCAATAGAGGGCAGAAGGGAAAGAAATCTCTGTGTGTCCAAGAACTTGCAACAATTAACCCCTCCCTGCCACCTCCTAACTCAGGCAACACAGAAACGGAGGTGAACAGCTCAGTAAAGTTACCAGTTGGCTTCATGGTATAACAAATTAATAAAAGAAAATGTCTGCTTCATTAGATGCCTTCTTCACTCTCAGTATTTTTCTGGTGGTATCAACTGAAAAATATACCAGCCTCCATGGCTCAGGGCAGAGGGTAAGGAGTTGCACCTTGATTTAAGGAGAAGTTTCAGATAAAAATACAACTCCTTTTCTTTCTTTCTCTCTCTATCTCTCTCTCTCTCTCTCTCTCTCTCTCTCTCTCTTACCAGGAAGAGAAATATGAAAATGGAAACACCTTTTACTATTTGATTTGAAAATAAAATGTCATCCAAACCATAGCAGGAGTTTTGTTATGTTGACAACTGGTCTCTGTTAAAAATAAGTTTCTGGGTTGCCTTCCAGCGTGAATTGTTTCAAGGAGGAAGATCCAGAATGGCATTCTAGTGCACAGAAACACAGATGGATGGACACATGGACAGATGGAAACAGACAGAGAGAGTCTTCCTTCCCTCAGCCCAAACTGGGATCATTCATTATATACTATTTTGTAACTAAAACAGGTCATCCTTCCGGCATGGAAGTTTGGAGCTGACAGCACTAGTCATTTCTCATTCTTTTTTTTTTTTTTTTTCAACCTGGGTCCTCTAGGCTATATTTCTCATTCTTTCTTGTTGATCCTGGGATATACAAATGGTAGAGCTGTTGGTGTTTAGAAAACTTTTGTTTTCTTCCTCAGACTGATGTTGGGGGACTAGTACTCCTTTCTCGATGAATTGGGATAATAACTGTGGCTAAGAAATAATGTACTTTTAATTGAAACGGCCAGATGGAGCCATGACTTTTACGAAGACATGTGAGTTTTTGGCTTTCACGATCCACATGGCATGTTCTAATTATCAGGCAGTTTTTCAGCATTCTTGATAGCTTTGGGCTGTGAATAGTGACTTCCTTCAGGTACAAAGACATTTTATCCTGTTGCATTGCTCTTTCTGAATTAAAGTCGGCTTTTGCAAGGAACATTTCCCTATTCTTTCTATACTTTTGTTAATTGTGTTTCCAAATTAACTAATGAGAGCTTATTCACTATTTAACTTTACTTGTATCACTTTGTCTTATGCCTGCAGATGGGAGATAGAATGGGATTAGATTGCGAAATAAGAAAGGGGGCTACCCTCATTTATTCACTCATTTGTGCATGCATTCATTTGTTCATTTATTAAGCACCTGCTATGAGTCAACTACTGTTTCCAACAAAGTAAATCTTTTCCTTCAAGGAGCTTATGGGGATAGATTCAAGGAAACCAGCAAAACGCAGTGAGATAAGAGCTAAAGTAAAAGTTTAGCACTGGGTGGCCTAGGAACATTCTATGGAGTCCTCCACTCAGCCTTGAGAATCAGAGAAGTCCTCCCCTGGACCCCTTCCCAAGACAAATCTTGGAGGACACATAGGAGTTAGCCCAGTGATGGGGGTGGAAGGTAGGGGAGGGTGTCCGAGCAGAGAGCATTGTCTACGTAAAGGTCCAGAGAAGAGGGCTGGGGACAGGGCTGTCTTTCAGGAGCTGCAACTATTTTAGTATTACAGGAACATGGAGTACAGGGATGGATCTTGTGGGTAGTATACACTGTTGCTTACAAAAACAAAAGACAAATGAAAAAACCCAGCAAGTTAGAATATCCTAGGTAGGACATATACTCTTGAATCCACCACAGACCCCAACCCTTTTCATTGCTCTACTCTATCCTAATTTACTTTCTTACCTGCCTGGCCCATGCAGGCATTTGAGTTTGGGATCCCCTACCTCTGAACTTAGACAAAAGGTCAAGTTCAAACAATCTCAGTCTCCGTGTCTGGTGTGAAAGGAAAGGAGACTAGCTTTGTGGTGGAACTGTGAAGGCCTCCGCAGTGTAAGATCCTACCCCCCCACCCCCAGCTAAGAGTAAGGAGAATTACTCAACATACACTAAAAAAGGCTCTTTCTTCTCATTGAATAAAATGGAGTATAGCGTAAAAAGGCAAATATTTACTGAGATCATATCATGTGCTAAATACTATTCCAAGTTCTATGCCAAGTACTATGCTAAGTTCTTTTATAGCAGGCCTTTCTATAAAAGAAGATAGTAATTTAAGTGGCCACAGTACATGGATGTAATTAAATTTATAATTTATAAAGTGATTTTGTGCATCTTAAAATATTTTATTTATTAGAATATCACCTAAATGTTTAATGCAGTCATATAAATATCTGATAATATCTATTGAGGCTCATTTATGTATTAGGTTCCGAGGCTTCCCTGGAGGTACAGCATAGACGTGGTCCCTGCCTTGGATTGTTCACTCTCATGGGCTGAATCACATCACAGATGATTATTTCTGTCTGGTCAAATCTGAGTTGTCAGATTTGAGTCATCCCAGGACTAAAGGAAATCTTTGAGTCAGCCCTTTGTAACCCTGGCAAACTTTAACACATTTGCATATTTAAGATTGATTTGGATCAAGCTAACCTTTTTCCTTCTTAGGATGAAATCTTGGTTGCTAAGTAAATCAGTAACAAACACTTCTGCTGAGAAACGAGGGCAAGTGTTGTCATATCTTTCCAGGACTTCTCATATTGATGGTTGAGGGCTTTGAACACCTTGTTTTTTTTTGTTTTTTTTTTGAGACAGAGTCTCACTTTGTTGCCCAGGCTAGAGTGAGTGCCGTGGCGTCTGAACACCTTGTTAAATTGACTTTAAAACATAAGCTCTTAGTTCTCACAACAGAAATTGAGCCAAAGCTAGCTTATGTTTTCATGCTTGCATTTGGCGGAAGTCATGAGAAATGAGGACATTTATTTCCGGAGGAAGGAGGAGAATCTGAATTAACTTTGAATTTACCTGGTGGCCCTGCATAGTGCCTTAGGCATACTATTACTCAGTGCATTTTTAGTAATCCAATATCTAATGAGTCAGAGATCTATATCTACAAAGAAAGCTTATCTTCATCCATCTGTCAGGTAGGAACTGTCAGAAGGCCTGTGTTTGTGGGACTGCTCTATATTCCAGAACCTTTGCTCAGAAAGAACTATTAATATATCACTGAGTAAGGAACTAGCTTGTGTTCATACAACACCTCTCGTTTCCTGGATGGGGCATCCTGGTAAAATCAGACCGTAGTAGCTGCCCTGGGCATATGCTTCCCGTTCTTCTTCTCCCAGGATTCTCAGTTGGCCCTGTGGCTTGTTTCTGTATGTGGCAGGCATCCCTGGGTCTTAGGGCAAGCAAAGATTCTAGTTATGACATTTTGATCAGCTGCAGTCTGGTGCAACCAAGACAGGGCAGCAACAGGAGCAAAAATGATGAAAGTTTATTGCCTCTGCTGACGGGAGTCTGGGATAACCCTAGAGCATTAGGAAAGGCGTTACCAGCAGAAGGGGACTCCTGAGTTAATGATTATAGTGAAAGCAGAAGTAAGGACAAAAACAAGAGCCTGTGGGAGGAACAACAGGAGGACTTCGATGAAGTTGAAAAGGAGGTGGAGAGAGAATTCTGAATCGCCAAGTTCAGAGGAAGACGCTCTTGTTCTGTCTGTGCAAAACTAATAGTTTGGCACCACTGACAGTGGTAAGAGAAGCCAAGGGAATAAGATTCTGAAATATTTGGGAGCATTTGCTATAAAAAGAAGATTTCAAATTACATAAAGAAGCAAATTGAAAATCAAGGGAGTTTTGAGGGGGGATATCAGAGGGCCATTGGAGAGGATGTAGCTTTACAATGTTTATGTCGGGCTGTGGATTTGGAGGAGTCTGTAGAAGCTAGAGTGAAAGCCAGGACTAATGAGGCAGGCGGAGCCATCGATGTGGCTTTCGCATCAAAAGATATGCAAATGCTGGGGCCACAGAACGCAGTGGCTGCTGCCAAGGTGGGTTTGGAAGGACACATGCCTTTAGAACATTGCTCAAAAGTGAGCTGTGCTCGCAGAAGGACTGTGATTTCTCTAGATTATCTGATAGCAGACTCGGTGATGTTTACCAGCTTCAGGGAGATCAGGCCATTGTGAAATTTTTTTCTGTAGTAAAACTAGCCCAAGCCAGCCAGACTGGGAATTTACTGCCTGAGTTGTTTTCCAATGTGAGTTTTGCTGGCAAAACCAGACGTGAGTGTTCCCTCGACTCTCAAGAGGCCTGTTTACACTGACTTTATTTTTACTGCCAGCTTTCAAGTGGGAAGAGGGAAATTACATTTAAAGGTCAGCAGGTGAGCAGAAGGATCCCTGCCCTGCCGCGTGTATGTGCCTGTGTGCATGCGTGCCTGTCCCTGAGTGTGTACACGTGTGTGCCTGTGTGTGTGTGTGTGTGTGTATTCTTGCTTTTCCAAGTGCCAGCTGCGTGCCCTGCTCTGGTTGACAAGACCTGATCACTTGTTTGTATGCATAATGATGGGTGCCGGGCTGGTTGTTTGGCAGTTTCCTATTTGTTTATTGTAAAGAAGGTAAATCAATCTGCAGGATTTTCTGGACTAGAGAGCAAGGGATATTTACTGTCAACAGGATGAGGACAAGGAGATATAAGATACTGAGCTCCAGGGTGCATCTACTGTCAGGACTAGAGCATAAAAGGGTGGGGAGAAGCCAACTACAGGGTATTTCTGTCTTGTATGGAGCTTTAAGTCTCTGGGTGGGAAATACAGCTTGGAAAATTGCCCTCTGGTCAAAGCACCAGTCAATAGAACTAATAGGGTAAAATTAGGTTGGACTCAAATGTACTTTCATCAACTTTCCTCTTTAAAATTCTTCTTTTTTTTAATTTCCAAAAAGATAACAGAAGGATTCTCACAGTTCTTTTCATTTGAGTGAAGAATTGAGAAGGCAAGTCTGTGGTCCATGTACACATTTCCAGAGAAAGTTAGCAACCAGACACTAACAACACTGGGAAGGCTACCCACAAGTGTTGTGCTCCACCGAGAAAAAAAACAAGAAGTTGCTGTTCTACTCGGGATTAACCAAGAAGCCATGAAATCCCTTCCTGCGGGGAACTTAGAAGATTGCCTGCTGAGTAAGGTAAGTTACCACAAATCCTGGTCTCTCCCATGCATTTCTCCTCACCTCCACCCTTCCCAACCAACCTTGATCCAGAAAGGATTCCAGAAACCAAAGGCTGCCAGCCCAGAGAGCGTCTAGGGACTTGCATTTCAGTCTTCTCTTTGAGGTTCTAGTGCCCAGAGGCGTGTTGGGTACTAACTTGAGTATAGATTGGAGAACTGGAATCTGGGTTGCAATTCCAGCTCTGCCACTAATCCTTGTGTGGTCATAAGTCACTTAACCTGCCTGGGCCTCAGCTTTCTTTGTAAAATGGGAGTGATAATAGGACCTTAATGGGGTCATTGAAAAAGAACAAACAAATGAAATTAAGGTAAAGCTTTTTAAAAATTGAAACTGCTAGGTTTTTTAAATCATATTTTTAGTACCCATCAATTAAGAATGAATTTAATTTCTTCTAGGTAGAGTCATAGGCTCTCAGAATGTTAGAACATAAACTGACCTTAAATATTATCTAAATTAAGTCTTTTCATTTACAGATGAAGCTACTAAGACATGATGTTAATGTTAAAACTAAAACATTGAAACTAAGAGGTAGGAACTAGTGTGTGGTTTTCATGCCTTGACAAGTAAACAAAGCAGAGATCATGATGATAGTTTTAAATAAAGTGTATTTCTTAGGCAAACCATTAAGAGAGATAAATAAGGAAAACCTATGATGATAAAAATTATAGTAAATAAAGTGATTTCCTATTATCCCTCCTGTTGGGTGCTCTAAATGGAACGGTGTTGACTGGCAACTTCCTATAGGTCCTGTATTTTTGGTAAGAAAAACTTCCAAATTTTTTAGGCTGGCATTCGAGTAACTTTAACTGCTCTATTTTTCTACCCTCTGCTTTCCCTGCATTTCCAGTAGCAGAGATTCTAAACAGTGCTTCACATGCTGACTGCAGCCTGTCACATGTCTTGTTTGGCCTGAAGAGTATTTTTTGAGTTTTTCCAATTTCTTTATAAACATTTCAAAATAGTGAGATTTTTACACAGAAATCTAGTTTACTGTCTTCTCTGGAAAAAAAAAATCAGGATGTCTGGCAACCATAGGTCCTGGTTTTTGCCTGGAAATCACAGGCTGGAGCTGAGTGTCCGTTAGGCAGAGCACGTGCTGCCCTGTCCTCAGGACTGCTGCAGCCCCCTGGGTCTGAAACCTGTCCGCTGCCCCCCACCCCCACCCCACCCATAGCCTTCCCTCTCTTATGTGTCTGCTACCCCATCCCTGTAGGGGGTCGAGTCTCCCACTCATCTCCCATAAGAGCCTGAGCAGGTCTGAGGCCTGAGCTCTCCTCTCCACTTTGTGGGCTCCTATTCATCCTTCAGACTCAATATAGAGTCCACTTTCTCAAGGAAGTTTCCCCTGACGCCCCAGCACAAAACGTTTTTGCCCTCCCATAAACTCTCATCATAATTATTACAAATACTGTTTTTTTGGCAATCAATTGTATGTTGACTCCTGACACCTGTCCTATTATTGTCTTATTTCGTGAATTCAATATTACATCATTTCATTCTTTATACATTTCTGGAGGGAAGATGGTATCTACCGCTAAATCGTGAAGGTCCTGAGGTTTCAGCCTAGTCTTTTTCAGTCCAACAGCCACATTTCTTCTGTTAAACATCTCTATGTCTTTGCAAACACATTTTGAGCACTTGCTTTGTGCAAAACACTGTGCATGGTTTGAGGGGAGACCAAGGCATAAGATGTGGTCTGCTGGCCTGGCACAGTGGCTCACGCCTGTAATCCTAGCACTCAGGGAGCCGAGGCGGTCAGATTGCTTGAGGTCAGGACTTCGAAACCAGCCTGAGCAAGAGCAAGACCCTGTCACCACTATAAATAGAAAGAAATTAATTGGCCAGCTAATATATATAGAAAAAATTAGCCGGGCATGGTGGCGCATGCCTGTAGTCCCAGCTACTCGGAGGCTGAGGCAGGAGGATTGCTTGAGCCCAGGAGTTTGAGGTTGCTGTGAGCTAGGCTGACGCCACGGTACTCACTCTAGCCTGGGCAACAAAGTGAGACTCTGTCTCAAAAAAAAAAAAAAAAAAAAAAAGATGTGGTCTGCTAACAGAAAGAAATTCTGTGCTTTATGTCTTAAGAATAGCGCTGTCCCACTTGCACATAACTCCAAAGGAAAAAGGAGGAAGTTCCACGAACAGACAGGGAAGTGCATAATGTAATGTATGGCAGACACAAGGGCTGCACCAGAGATTTCAACAGAGGAAAACAGAGGAGCATTAGCTCTGATGGGAGAGGTGTCTTACAGAAAGAGGAGTGAAGACGAATGTTTGAGGATGTGTAGGGTTTTCATACGTGGAGAAGTACAGGAAAGGTCTTCTAGGCTAATGGAACCCCATTCAAACATATGAGGTGGGTTTCATTCCCAGGCATCTTTTTTTTTTTTTTTTTGTGGGGTAGGCAGAACAGTGCAATGGTTACAAATATGGGCTTTGGAATGACAGTGCCTGGGTGTGTGACTTACTAACTCTGGCACCCTGGGCAAATTATTTAACTTGCTGAACTTCAGTTTTCTCATCTGTGAAATGGGAATAATGATAGCATTCACCTTAAAGGATTATTGGGGGCTTCGAATGAGCCCACCCTCATAAAGTGCCCTGGACACAGGGAGGACTCAGTAGACTTGACTCCATTGGGGTGCTGCTATAGCTTCTGCTCCATCTGGGTCTGCAAATGTCCCGTGTGGCTCAAGCATTTGATGCATTTGGGTCATAGAAGAATTAGTCTGAAAAGAAGGGATATGATGGTGGAAAACTATGGTCTCATCTATACCTATCACTGAACTTCAGTCTCCATCCCTTTACATTATTAGCACCTGGAAGACAGAGATCTTTCTGGCTTTTGTTTTGTTGTGTGTGTGTGTTTTGTTTTTTTTAAAAACTGATTATTGGATCTAATGCAATTCCAGAATTAAAGGTCTGACTTCTTGTTTTCTGGAAGGAAGTCCTCAGCCTTTTTCCCCTAGCGGCACCCATCACAGGTGACAGACACCCAGGCCACATGCCCACGGGGGTAAGCAGGCCTGTGTGACGTTCCTGGCTATTACCACCGCTGTGATCTCCTTTGTCTCAAGGAAGTGTGTCGGAATGCAAGTGAGTCAGAACAGTGTTATTACAGGGAATAACCTTGAATTCCCAATAATTTATATTTGAAACAGTAAATTATTCACGAACTTGAGCTATTAATAGTAGCAAATGACTTGTGGGACAACAATGAGCCAGACGCTGAGGCTGGGGAGGAGGAGGGAAGAGTAGCCCAGGCTGGGATGTGTGCATGTGTACAGGCGTGTAGACACGCCTGGAGAGAGGGAGGCCCACGCAAAAACATGGCCCTCTTAAAAAGTGCCCCACATGACTACTTTTTGCATAAACTCTGCTTAATTAGCATAACTGAACCTGCATGCTAATAAGCATGGCGTAGCTTTCCTGGGTTCGGTACAGCAGAAGGGTTGGACTAGGTAACCTAACCACACCTAGCATTGTGTGGCTCACTGGTTTAATACAATTCATTTCTGCTTTTGCTCTGTCACATCTATAAATGCAGCCTTTTAAAAAGAAAAACTGGCCGGGCGCTGTGGCTCACGCCTGTAATCCTAGCTCTTGGGAGGCCGAGGCGGGCGGATTGCTCAAGGTCAGGAGTTCAAAACCAGCCTGAGCAAGAGCAAGACCCCGTCACCACTATAAATAGAAAGAAATTAATTGGCCAGCTAATATATATAGAAAAAATTAGCCGGGCATGGTGGCGCATGCCTGTAGTCCCAGCTACTCAGGAGGCTGAGGCAGGAGGATTGCTTGAGCCCAGGAGTTTGAGGTTGCTGTGAGCTAGGACGCCACGGCACTCACTCTAGCCTGGGCAACAAAGCGAGACTCTGTCTCAAAAAAAAAAAAAAAGAAAAAGAAAAACTGCACCTTTGTTCATTGATTTAATCAGCAAAGGAGGTGAGTGAAACTTGAACAAACCACTGAGGTCAAGTTTTGATTATTAATAAACGTACTTTTGATTCCATATTCTTAAATTATCCTATTTCCCCCTTAAATTTGTTTCCACGTTTTGGCATGAAATACATTTGGTGACAAAGCTACCTCAAGGCTGCAGCTGGATCTTGCTTGCTTCCCGAAGTGTGAGAGGCTATCGGGGGATTCCGGGTTGGGCTGGCAGTGGGTCTCTGCTTGAGGTTGAGCCTCTCTCTTTTATTGAGATCACTCTCTGTAACACTGCCTCAGGCCACCCACCTGCTTTTCTGCACCCAGAATTGGAATCTTCTCCCCACATCTTTCTAGGCTGTGGTCAGGATAGGTGGAGGGAAACAGTCCAGGGGTTCTGGCTTGTCATACCATGAGAGGGACAGGAACTACATGAGACTAAGCCTGGAAAACCCCCAGCACAAACCACTTCTGGGGCTACTGAGTAGCACAGTGACTCTGTAAAGGTAAGAGCCTATTGTGGGAAGCGTGGCCAGAGACGTAATGTGCCCATTACCTGATGAGAAAGAGGATTCCACCCAGCCTCTGAGGCTTGGGCACTGTGGGAACAGGCTTGTCCCAGGCCGGGCTCTCTCCCCACAGCTCTGGTCCAAGTGTGGCATCACTGTCCGGCCCTTGCCGTGTTCCCTTTCTGTGCTGGTGGGATGCCAGAACAGGTGGTGATGCCCAAATTAATGGAGACTTTGGACTTTTTACTTCATGAGCCTTAACTCCAAATTGAGGGCGTTTTCAAGTTCAGAGAAGGATAAAGGTAAATATTATTTCTGGTACTTCTATATGCAAGGGTGTGGCACAGCGCAATGGAAGGAAGAGTTGGGGAACCTGGACACTCAGTCTAGTTCCACTTACAACTGCCAGGGTTAAGAAAGCCACCTTGTCACTCTGATGCTCCGTAAAGTGACACCAGACAAGACGATTTCTGAACAGTCTTCCATTTCTAAGATCCTGAGTCTAAATTACAGCAGAAGTGGTGGAGGAAGAAAAGCAAAACCAGAATTTGTAGTTCTAGGTCATGAAAAGCATTCTCTTATTCTGACTTTCAACTTTGGAATGGAAAATGGATATTAAAGATGGGTTAATAGTCCTGTGTAATGAGTGAGAGATTATAGTTCTCTTTTGGGAAGTGTGTGATCTTGTCTTGCCCAGTAAGACAATTTCACCATCAAATGGGGCACAAATTATAGAAGAGATTTACAATAAAGAACTTTCCAACAGGCTACTCATCACATGTGTTATATGCATGTATATGTACATGTTCATATATGTACACATGCACACAGTCTCTTTATCAGTTAAATCTGAATTGATGGTGTTTATATAGTGATGAATCTTTTGGTTGCTTATTATCTCAGGAAACAATACATACATACTACATACAATATATATGTATGTAGTCACCACTATGTTATTAACATTCCAGTTTTGTGGAATCACACGAGAGGACGTGGAAAATTAGGAGGTTAGTCTTGGTGCTCAACACATTCTGAGAACCTAACTGTTGGCGAATACCGTTTCCCAACCACTCTGACTGCAATGTTCTATCTAGTTAGCTCTTGTATTATTTTTTCCCACTGCATCTGATCAGACTTCTGGTCCCTGAACTTGCCCAATGTTCCCTAATCTACAAAACTTGCTTTATCCATCCCTATTGAGGCTGGAAAATAGAGCCCACCAGCCTACCACTGAAACCCTCCCTTGCTCTTTCACCTTTCTCCAGCTCTCACCTGCCCAACTCCAATCTTAGCATCTTGTATCTTGCCTCTGGAGGGCTGGGAGCTGCTTAGGAACATCTCACAACTGAGCCTGCTGCATCCCATAGCCTCACAGACTCTACCACAGCTAAGTCTTGGTGCTGCCTGGCCATCTTTACCCATGTCCCGAAACAGTCCCTCATTCCTTAGAGGAGCCATTTCAACAGTTTATCTCCTGAAGTCTCCCACTTTCCAGCCCACTCCCAGCACACTGCCTTGTCTCTTATTCCATAAATAAAACAGATACCAGACAGGAAGTTGCTCCGATTCCTACCATTCCTGCCCTTTCTATGTCTGCACCCCTTTTCCTTTCTTTCTTTCCGACACACAAGGTGAATTCCTCACTTAAGTCTCTGGATTTGCATGACTCCTCTGGCTGGGAAATCCTTGCACAATGGTTTTGTTCTCTGCTGCCTCTTTCTTCTCCATAGACTCTTCCCTCAGCAGGGAAACATGTTCAGGCCTGTGTGTCATTTTGGAAAAACCTGTTGGCGTCCCTGTTGCATTGTCTTGTTTTTTTCCATAATCCAACTTCTTGGAGGAGTTGCTTACCTCTGTCCTCACTTGCGAGTCTCCCATTCTCTCTGAATCCACCGCTTAATGCCTTCCACTCCCCCACTGCCAATGCTATTGCCTGCTGCCCCTGAAACACACTGATCCCATTCTAGCTGCCAAACTCTATGGACATTTTTTGGCCTTATCTCACTTAGCCACTTACCATTAATTTTGTTCTTGAAATTCTTCTTCCTTTGTTTGTAAGACTTCTCGCTGTTTATTTTCCCAACTCACTATCCTCCTCTAAGGCAACTGCTGCTCCAACAGTATCATAGGAACAGTTGGGATTCTCTCTGTGTTCCTTGTGCCTAACTGGATACCTGCCGTTTTCTCTTTCTAGAATAATCTCCATGCCATTTTCTTCCGAACTAACTCCTGCTAATCTTTTAATATACAACTCTAACACATTACACCCCCAAAATGGTCCCCCAACCTTCAGGCTACATGAAGTGTCCCTTTTCTGTGTATCCATAGTCTCCTGTGCAAACGTCCACCTCGCATTCGATTGCAGTGATTTCAATTCCCAGTTTATTTGTCTTGCCTTGTCAATTTATCTATAAACCTCTTGACAACATGTGTGCAGAGAGCCTGGCACAAAGTGGATGTTCAACAAAAATCAGTCGCATGGAGTTGAACCACAGCACATAGGGAAGCCATACCCTGGGGAGGACTGTTAATTATAAGCTTAATTATAAGCATCTAAAACCATCTTCCTTATTTTTTTGTTGTGGCAAATGACCTGCCCCTCTGTGACCTTCTACTTGCATACTCTGAAAGACACAGAGCCTCTGGAGTTTATGAATGTTCAAGAAGGGTACCCTTGGTCCCTTCTCCCGTGGCGGATATAGTGGGGTGGTCATTAAAGGTATTGAGAGCAGTGTGTGGCTGCTGGTGGCAAAAAGATGTTAAAAGCTGGTATAGACATGATCACCATATGCAAAGTTAGGAAAGACATGGAGATTTTGAAAAGACCGATTCATGCATATCATGTATTTCCAGTGAGACTGTAAGCTCCTTGAGATCAAGAGCCTCATCTGATGTTTCTTTTGACTCATTGCAATGTTAGCATCTAGAAGTTATTAACTTATTTTTCAAAGACAGTCCTCTGTGTGAGGCTATATACTTATAAAACAGGAGTCAGCCTGCAGACTGGGTCAGCTGTCCCTGTTGTTCCCAGTGGCACCCCACACTTCCCCATGGTGACATCTCCACACTTGTATTCTATATTTATGTCTGCTGTCCCTACTGTGAGTACATAGCTATGTCTGTCTTACCCATCGCTGTATCCCAGCAAGTAACAATACCCAGCACAGAGCAAGTGCTAAGTAAATATTTATTAATGAAATGACTCCATATGTGATATACAACATATGTGCAAATAGATGCACTCTCACATTTGTATTCCATGTGCATATGAGGTTGGCGTGTTGGTTGATGGGAGGTATGAAGGAGATCTCAGATGACTGGACAAGTTGATGACTTAGCTTAGGAAAACCCTAGAAATAGAAATCTCTCTTTTCTTTTCTTTGCCCAGGCTAGAGTGCATGGCATCAGCCCAGCTCACAGCAACCTCAAACTCCTGGGCTCCAGCGATCCTCCTGCCTCAGCCTCCTGAGTATCTGGGACTACAGGCAAGCGCCACCATGCCCAGCTAATTATTTTTTCTATATATTTTTAGTTGGCCAATTAATTTCTTTCTATTTTTAGTAGATGGGGTCTCACTCTTGCTCAGGCTGGTTTCAAACTCCTGACCTTGAGCGATCCGCCCACCTCGGCCTCCCAGAGTGCTAGGATTACAGGCATGAGCCACCGCGCCTGGCCTAGAAATCTCTTTAAACCATAGAAATCTCTTTAACTTGCGCTTTTTTTCTCTAGTTATCTTGACCAGTTTATGGGTGTCTCAAAACTACTGTGGAATATGTAGAAACAGCCAACTCAGAAAGAATATAAAGATCTGTGAATGGGCGTTGGATGTAGATGTATCAAATATTGCTTAAAAATCAGCCCCTGGCTGAGGGAGACTGTGCAGGAGACTCTTGTAATGGCACCAGCCTGCAGGTGCCTCCTGCACAAGGTGACAAAGAGCCACCTCCATTTCAGAAAAAACTTTTCCCACTTCTCCTTTCATTTGGAGTTTTCTGTCTCTCCTGGAGTTTACTAAATTTCCATTGTGTTTCCCACAAACATCTATTTCCTTGAAGTTTAAGTATCTTATTGGTGCTCAGTTTTCTATGGGAACTTTCCAGTTCTCAGTGACTCGCTGTGCAGCGGCAGCAGGACCATAAATGCGCACCTTTTCTTGCGGATATAGTAGCAGAAGAGGGTTGAGCACAGAAGCAAAGGGAGCCAGCACTTGTTGGCACGTGGGAAGCAACCTGCTGGGTGTTGACACACGTTAACCCATTGAATAGCCACTGACCTGGGCAGCAGGTGTTGTTATAGCACCATATAGTCTCACCAAGGCTCACAAACCCTCTGTGACCATCCTGCCTCTGCTTCCCTTCCCAAACTCCTCTCCAATCAATTTCCTTTTCCCTTCCCAGGCTCCAGCCACTGTGGCCCTTGAGCACTGCCAAGCACTCTCTGCCTTTAAGGGCCTTGGAATCTGTCACCTTTTTAGGGAAGCCCCTTTAGTCTCTAGACCCATATCCTATTTTATTTTTCTTCACCGGACTTATCACACCTCATGTTACACACACATACACACACGTATCCTGTATTTTTTACTAAAGGGTAAGTATCTATATTGTTTGCTGTTGTTTTAATCACTGTTGTGTCCCCAGCACCTGGACAGACACCTGCCACATAGTAGGTACTAAATAAACACTGAACAAATCCATCTACTTGAATAGAGAACATTGAGGCATTGAGTGTTATCTCGGTCAAAGTCAGACCTAAGTCCATCTCCTCTGGAGTGTCGGGAAGGCAGGATTTTTGAGCTGAGCTCCTCCAGTCATGGCCACCCCCCAGCTGTGCCTTTGTCCGGTCACTTCCTCATGCCAGTGTCCCGGGGTCCAGGGAAGTAACCACCTTTGCTGATCGTTTCACGCCCAGGTGGACTCGAGGCGCCAGCGGATCTCCCAGACTGTGGAGGAGGTGCAGAAGGTCATTCATCAGTTGACCACAGAAATCAGCCACCAAGACATTAGATTTCAAGCCGTGCCACACTTTGACACATACAACAGGAACATTAAGGTAAGCAGGTCTCACCTGTCTCCAGGTGCCCAGCAGCCCACTCGGGACACGTGAGAGGGCAGAACTCGGTCTGTGATGGTGCTCGCTCCGCCAAGCGGACTCACAACATCTCATGTTTCTGCGTGTACTCTTAGCCTTTGCCATTTCCAATCTCATGTCACAGATGTTATCTCATTTGAGCCCCCATATTCCTCGATGATAAAAACTGGCCTTTGAGAAGTCAGATGACTTGATCAAGTCACATTAGGCATGAAGGCCAGAACTCACCCCGAGGCTTCCGATTCCAAAGTGCGTTCCACTGGGATGATGAAGTTCAGTCAAGCACACGTCCATTTATCAAGCAACTACGTGATAGACTGGGGACTGGGTAGGGAAACCGAGGGCATTGGTAAGAAAATAGATGAAAGTGATAGTCGGTGGGCGGCAGGTGGTAGAAGGAGGAAAGCGGCAAGTGGCCCTTAGGGACTACAGGGCAGCCTCGCGCTCCCCCTACCAAGGAACCCCACAGAGCATAAGCCACAGGGCCAGCGTGTGACAGCCAGCATTCGAGTGACATTGCAGTGTGGACAGAGCTGTTCTCCCAGAAGTTACGTCACTGGAACCTGTAAACAACCTTGTGGAAAAGACAGTACAGTCATCTCTATTTTAGAGATGAGAGAAGTGAGGCTCTGATTATTCTGAATCCAAACGTTCTTTTTTGTCGTTGTTGTTTTAGACAGTGTCATTGTTACTCAATCAGAGTGCACTGGTGTCATGGTAGCTCACTGCAACCTCAAACTCCCAGGCTCAAGTGACCCTCCTGCCTCAACCTCCTGCATGGACTATAGGCTCGCACCATGCCTTCTAATTTTTCTATTTTTTGTAGAGACAGGGTCTCACTCTCGCTCAGGTTGGTCTTGAACTCCTGAGCTCAAGGGATCCTCCCGCCTCAGCCTCCCAGAGTGCTAGGATTACAGGCGTGAGCTATTACTACACCTGGCCACCCCATCATTATTTATCTCAATTTTTCTTACGCCACCTAAGAATCTGTTTCGCCTTGTATTACATTTATATGTATTCTTGGCCTACTTCTCACAGCAGACTGTAAGTTTCTTGATTGTAAGGATCATGTTTACCAATTGTTTTATTCCTATCACCCAGCATGCTGTGCGGCACATGGTAGACACTCAGCTTCTGTTGAATGAATGAATAAATGAATAAGCAAAACAATTAGTCCTGAGCAAAAGACCATTGCTGACTTAGTACATCTCAAGGTTGATGGACATAAGAACCACCCATGAGACTCTAGGATTTGTGGATTTTTAGACAGTCATATTTTAGAAAATTCATTCCAGGATGAAAATTGTAAAACTAGACTGAATCCTGGAATGTAACATGAGAATATCACCTGCCCACCTCTACCGCCCCAGGCCAAACTAAATTGGACAAATACAGACCAGTGATTAGGAATAGAGACATTACATCACTTTCCTTAGCACTATACCTGAGGAAACTTCCTTCTGTGCTCCCACTTAGAATTCACAGCTTAAAATATGTCTTGCATTTATATATGCCATGTCTTACAGATTAAGTTTTGAAAATACTTACAGTGTAGCATTTAAAAATTGCTTTTATCTTGAATCAAATTAAACAAGTATTTATTAGGCACCATTTATATGCCTAGCAATATGATAGTAATGCTTTTGAATTCACATGCAAGCAGAGTATAGATGCATAGATGTATATAGAGTATGGATGCATAGTATAATGTATAGATTTTGAATTCTATAGTTTAGATGTATTTCCCTCTTTCTACATCCAGTCACCTTTCTATGAACACCATAAGTCATGTGGACCCACGGTCTGAAACATCAAACTGTTTGAGTCTGAGAATGAGAGTCAGTTGAAGCTGAATTGGTGTTCATCCCTGAATGAGCCAATGGCTAGGCCGTGGGTGAGGGCTGACCGAGTTAGCATGGTCAGGATTTCCATGAAGAGGAGGTATCGGACTTACGGGCGGTGCGGCGTGCAGTGGATGGCCACAGACACAGCCAAGGACCCCCTCTGTCAGTGCTGCAGTCTCAGCCACCCGAGCTACCCCTCAGATCACTGGCCTGATCGATTTCCCCGAGTGCTGTTCAGCTAGTTCCTAGAGAAAGGGAATAGGTGGATTCTGATTGTTTGCTTTTCTCTGTTAAACATTGAGCCATTTCAACAGCTCTCATTATCTAAACAAACAAGCTTCTATCTCACCTTTGACTTTGTAAGGAGAGCTACCATGAGTCATCAGGGGAAAGGAAAGGGAGCCAATTTGCTAAATTGTTTCATCTCTTCCCCCAACCCTTCCCACCCTTTATTCACATGAGAACTTTCACCACCCCACGTCATTCTTGACCGAGAGCCAGCCCAGAATGGAAAAATATTCATTGAAGGAGCTAGCAAAAGACTTACAGTCTGGCTCTTCTATTTACAGGCCCTGGGGGGGGGGGTGTCTCTGAGCCCCTCTGAGTCTCGGGTTCCTTATCTGGGAAGTGGCAGCAAAGCCCACCTCACTGTGTGTTGTGGAGATCAAATGGGCAAGTGCATGAGAACCACAGTGCTTCCTGTGCTTGGAACTTAATGAACTTGTTGGATTCATGAAACCAAAAACTCAGAAAGTGAATGCACCTGCCTGAAGCAATACAGTGAGTGGGTCAGTGGCAGAACAAAGATGTGACCCCCTTGCAACAACACCCAGGTATAGGTCTCTGTCTACCTTGTCACACTGCTGAGGGTAGAGTGGCTAAGTGAGCTGCCTGGCTCCACAGGTTGGCTCTTCAGGACTTCTGTTACCTCCCACGTCTATGAACTCACACTTTCTCTCTCTCCTTTCCTGACCCCAGGTTTTGGCCCCCGGTCAGTTCCTCGTCACAGTCCCAATAAAAGGCCTGGCTGGGTACAGGGAGGCCAGCGAGCAGCGCTGGCGGTACTACACCCTGCAGGGTGCCAGGCTGCCCTGCCCCCTGCCGGCCCCCGAGGGCCTGCAGCAGTGGCTGGAAGTGGAGCAGTTCGTGAAGAGCCTGTGGCAGTGGCATGAGGCAGACGTGAACATCGAGGGGGACATCGTGCCCGCCAAGGTTCTCCAGGTGTTCCGGAAACTGGTGGAAAATGCAATTAGAACCTGTCACCTCTCAGGTGAGCTGATCAGGGGGGAAAAAGTGCAAGGGAAACTGGTGGCACTTCTCTTTTGCTCTATAAAACCTCTGCTTGGGTGTCACTTGAACCCCTCACCCCTAATTTGACACAATAATCATGCACTCTTCACATCTGTTCCATCTTCATGATATGAATTAGCTTTTTTTTCCTGCAGTGACACACAGAAGGTTGGAATTCATTCTCACAAAACACTCTCACGACTTTAAGTAGATTACTGTTCTGACATAGATATGACAGGCTGTGGATTAGGCACCCTTTCCAGGATGTTAGCTTAAAAACTTTAGTGTACTTTTTGAAAACAAATTATTCATAAACCCCAGATCTTCAATATTAGCACCATAGCCCGTCTGCCTGCAATACCACAGTATGCTGAGGTGCCATTTTTGGAAACTACAACTTGTACCAAAATACAAAATCCAGAAGCAATAAAGAACTGATTAAGTTTATAACCCCAAAATCTTGAGCTACTGTACTATGCAGCATACCTGTATGCTGTGTGTGTGCGTGCATGTGAGCATGCATGTACCTTTTTTGTTCACACCAAGTGAGAAGGTGAATTTCAAATGAGGAAAAAAATTGATAATTTTGTTCATTATAAAAGAGTACTTAGAAACCAATAAGAAAAAAGATGGGCCGTGCGCGGTGGCTCACGCCTGTAATCTTAGCTCTCTGGGAGGCCGAGGCGGGCAGATAGTTTGAGTTCAGGAGTTCGAAACCAACCTGAGCAAGAGCGAGACCCCGTCTCTACTATAAATAGAAAGAAATCAATTGGCCAACTAATATATATACAAAAAAATTAGCCGGGCATGGTGGCGCATGCCTGTAGTCCCAGCTACTCGGGAGGCTGAGGCAGCAGGATCACTTGAGCCCAGAAGTTTGAGGTTGCTGTGAGCTAGGCTGACGCCACGGCACTCACTCTAGCCTGGGCAACAAAGTGAGACTCTGTCTCAAAAAAAAAAAGAAAAAAGATGAGCTGACAAATAGAAATAATGACCAAAAACAAAAAACAAATGAATCACAGAAAAATAATATAAATGGCTGGTCAAAATAAGAAAAGACATTCCCTCTAATGTGTATTCCAAGACACATTAGAATGTACTAATGTTAGGTACGTTAAAATACCCAACAGGTTAAAAGAGATGAACAGTGTGACTGTGCTCAGTGGAGGGCTGGGCAGGGTGAGACGGGTGTTTTTGTAAATTGTTCTTGAAAGTGTAAATCGGTGCCTCCTTTTTAAAGGACAACTTGGCCATTTTTAATTTTTATCATGTGCTTACTTGAGAATTCCACAATTCCAGTTCTGGAAATACGGTTTTACAAGTACACAAAGAAACATGCACTAGGATAGCCTCTGCCATAGGTTTTATAACAGTAAATAACTAGAAGTAATCCCAATGACTAACAGAGCAAAACTGGGTAAATTAAGTTGCGTTACCTCTACCTAGCCGACTACTGAGCACCCTTTAAACAGAACGAGGCAGCAGGCATCAGCACACATGCACACAGGGTCATGACGAAATGCACGTGCCTGATAAGTAAATGAAAAACCGCCAAACAATATGAGATTGCATTTGCGTAGAAATAGAAGGATGCGTTTGTGTGTACACTTGCTTGTCTAGGCAGAATGGTTCTGGAAGTTTCCGTGATGGCAATAGTTCATGTTTAATGGCGTTTTAGTAAATTGAGGATGCTTTGCTGAATCATTTAATTTAATCTTCTTAACAACCCTACAAAATAAGAATTCTCTCTCTCCCTGTTTCACAGATGAAGAAACTGAGATTAAGGAACTTGCTTAGATTAAGGAACTTGCCAGGGGTCACTATCCAGTGAGCAAAGCAAGCTGCAGAAACAGGCCGTGGGCTGGTCCAGTCCCAGCTCACCTCTTACGCTGCGACGTTATCAACAGGGAAAGTGCAAAGCAGACATTCAGACCTGGCCAGGCTGATGAGGTGCTTTCAGTAAATAATGCCAAAGTACCAGACATCATTGTGTTCCTGTCTGGGCAGCTCTGATGAGACGCAGACAATGAGCCCTTTATCATACCCTGGCCAAGGAGAGGCATGTTGCCCTTTGAACAGCTTCACACAGTTAATGAGCTTCCATTTTCTTCTCTGAGCAAGGGAAAGCAAAATAATAGATCCCAATTCAAGACAGCTCATCCTTATCTGTAACGAAGGCAAACAGACAAACAAAAAAAACTAGTGTATCTTCCGAGAGAAGTGGGAGCAAATTAGAAATGAGGGAATTCTAGTGTGTGACCTGGAAAACTTTGCCAGATACATTAGTTTTCTTTCCCTGTCTTTGCCTGGTTGGAAAATGAGGCCGTGGGGGCTTCTTCCCACTCACTTGACCCTTTAAAAAAGATGTTGTGATGTGGCTTGAAGTATGTTACAATTATAACGGCTTATAATGATGATAGCTACACCTGAGGCTGGGCTGGATGGGTGGATGGGTAGAAACAAATATTATCTAAGACACTGCGACTGAGATAAAAGACAGGTGAAGCCGAACTCCACCAAAGGCATCCAAACGATAAGGGGCTGACACTGTCCCTAACCAGCAATAGAACATCTGAGCAAAGACCGTATATTCGCATTACTGCAAAACCAACATTTAGGTGTTTGGGTGGAATGGAGAAGAATAGAGAAGAATGGTTAGATTTTATTTTATAGTAGCAAATATAGACGATCCCTTACTTATGATAGTTTCACTAAGATTTTTTGACTTTATGATCATGCAAAAGCCATACACATTCAGTAGAAACTGTACTTTGACTACTCATACAACCATTCAATAAATGACAGGAGATACCCAATACTTTATTACAAAATAAGCTCTGTGTTAGATGATTTTTCCCAACTGCAGGCTGATGTAAGTGTTCTGAGCACATTTAAGGTAGGCTAGGCTAAACTGCAGTGTTCAGTAGGTTAAGTGCATTAAATGCCTTTTCAACTTATGATATTTTTGACTTATGATGGGTGAATCAGGACGTACCCCCGTTGTAAGCTGGGGAGCATCTGTACTGTACTTTTTCTTTTTATTCTATGGCTCTTTCTTCTAATTGAGGCTTCTGAAAAGAATCTATTGATTTAAAGAAAAGGGAGGGTGGGAGGGGAGCAAGGGATAAAAACTTATGTATCCGGTACAATGTACACTACTCTGGTGACAGGCACACCAAAAGCCCTGACTTCAGCATTATACAATTCATCCATGTAGCAAAAACACTTGTACCTCCTTAATATTTTAAAATAAATTATAAAAGGAAAAGAAAAGGTGCGATAAAAACTTTGGGATTTGGGGAGAAAGAAAAAAGAGAAACTCACCAACAATAAACCTTTTTCGTAACGCTGTAAAACCCGGGTTAGCTGACTAATGGTCTGGTGTTGATGTAAATGCCCTGCCCTTGATGTGCCACCGACATTGTGAACGTTACCCCACCGGTTGCAGAGAGCTGGTCAGAGCAACTGCTCACAGATTGCTTCTTTGAACACTTGTATTGAGCAAGCCTTTCTCTTCTCATTGTCCACTGGTCTTTTCCCGTCAGGTAAGGTGAGCATGCTAGCAAACCGCGCTGCAGTTTGGGTTGCCGTGGAAACATCCGGAGGTCAGGTGGAGCTAGAGCTGGCCCCCGCGGTGGAGATCCCCACCACCTGGTCGCAGAAAGCCCGGTGGCCTCGATGTCTGCAGCGCTGGCCTTCCCCAGAGAGGGTGAAGTGCATCAAGGTATCCGTGTCCGGGACCCCAGCTCCCTGGGCCAGTGTTACCAGCAGCTTACCCAGTCCCGGCGTTACTGACTGCCCACCAGCTCCCCAAGGACAGTGGAGGTGTCACTAGATCAGCAGTTCTCAAAGTGGGGCCCTGGACCAGCAGAGCGTCACCTCAGAACTTGTTTGAAATGCAGATTCCCGGCCCCCCTTTGGACCTGCCGAACGAGAGCCTCTGAGCAGGGCCCAGCAATCTGTGTGAATGAGCCCTCCGGGTGAGTGGCTCTGAGGCCGGCTCAGCCTTCTCCTGCGAACTGCCCACGTCCAAGGTGGCGTGTGTTCTCCCCGGGTCCCCTCTTGCCCCATGTACGATGTGCTGCCTGCCCAGTGACAGGGTCCCCAGGCTAGTGGACTGCCTCGGAATTGGCTTTCCACTTCAGCAAGCGTTGCTCATCTCCTTTCCCAATATTTTTCTCTTTTCCCAGTCATTTGGGTTTAACCTGCTGGCCCGTTCGAATTACCACTGGGAGCTGAGCTTCCTGCAGGCCGAGCAGGTGCTGCTGGAGCAGCTGGACGAGGACGGGGGCTGCCGCAGGAAGTGCCTCCAGGTCATGAGGCAGCTGAAGGAGGACGTCTGGTGCCCAGGGAAGAGGCCCGTCCTCACGTCCCACCACCTGCAGGTGAGCGTGGGGCCCAGCCAGAGCCACGCAGAAGGGGGGCGGGTGTAAATGCAGGATGGGCTCTAATATCTATCTTTGCTGCCCCACAAATTATTGCTCATTATGGAAACAGATGAACTCAGGCTGTGTGTCCACAACACCCCTGCCCAGGGTAAGATCTCCTCTGCCTCCCGCCCTTCCCTTTTCCACTTTCCTCTCCTCCCTCCCCTTCCCCCCATCCATCCCCTCTCCATTTTATTACTTTACTCAACAAAGCAAGGTGTGCCCACTGTGGGCCAGGAACCCTGCTGGGATTCAGAAATAAATTACAGAATGTGGTTTCTGTCTCACACCTCTAATGAAGTCATGTTTTCCCGGATGTTATGACCCACTCCATTCCCGTTCTAGCCCAAGTGCAGCCACTCATACACACACAGACGCACTACACACAGGGCGGGGGGTGGGACCAGGAAATGGTGAGGTTATCACATAAACATTGCCACAGACCTATTCCAGGCTTTGGACTTCCGGGTTCCAAATCATCAGGCAGGGATTTTCCCTTGCTCTGCCAGCTCCTGCCTCCCTTTGCCCCAAACCCGACATTATGCATTCACCAGTGTGTTCACTCACTCACTCACTCACTCACTCACTCACTCATTCAGCAAATGTTCCGTGAGATTCCTCTGGGCTGGAGGCGTCTGGGCCAGCACCTGCTGTGTGCTCAGTACCTGGAGGTACAAGGTGAACACACAGATGTGGCTCCTGCTCTTGTGGAGCTTCTGGTCTGGCAGGGAGGGGAGACATTGGGTCACATGCCATTAGGTGTGTGGACATATCATCGAGGGGAGCACAGGAGGGGACAGTCACGTCGATCTGCGAGGGCTCAGAGCAGCAGAACCTGACCTGGCCCAGGGAACTGGGGGGCTTCCTGGAGAGGTGGCCTTTGGTCACCCAACTCCCTCTTTCTCACACTGTGGTCCACACAGAGCAAAGGGGACTGTCCTGTAACAGCTGTGTGTGGCATGCTGGGGTTGGGAGGGGTCCTACTCTCGCAGGACGTCACAGCCCAGCCTAGCTAGGCCTGCCCAGGAGCCCCATTCCTTCTCCCCGCCCCTATTAGGGCAGCCACCTGTCTGTGTGTTGCCTTGCCCCATACACCTACCTGTTCCTCCCTGCAATCAATGGACAAAACCATCTTATGGCCCCATGTTACTCTTTCTGCTCTAAAGTGACCTGTTGAGGGGCAAGTACAGGTCAGTCTAGTTCACCGAGCACACTGGCCTCACCCAATGGTCTTGATCACGGGGAGAAGGATGAGAGTTGCCTCCAGTCCCTGTACCACAGCTTTGCACACAGTGGCTCAGCAAACATTTGTTGAGCGCATGAAAGAGCGGCTTCACATCTTATTCAACATTTCTTTTTTTTTTTTTTGCACAAAATCACTAGTGTTTGTTTTGTGCTCTTATCTTTCCCGATAACCTGTCTTTCTTGACCTGCCAAAGAATCTCTTAAGATCTCGTCTGTCTAGGCACACTGGAGGCTTTCTCTGCAGTTTCAACATCCTCAGCACATCCCCAGACACAGTCCCCTAAACACACACCAGATAGTCTCCTGGGTCAAGGGCACGTTCTTTCAGAAGATACTCAGATGTGTTTTGTGGATTTAGCTTGCCTTTCTATAAGCCACACTCGGAAGAGGCAGAGCTGAGAAGCACGCACTAAAAAGTCTGTCTCATGTCAAAACCGCATAATCTTAACAATTAACTTCTTTGTCCCTCAATTAAGATGGACAGACACACCATTAGGTGGCACGAAAATTTCAGGAAAGATTGAATAGAGCCACTACAGGCCTCCCAGCCCATGACGGCTCTCAAAACTGCATCCCACCCAGGGGTGTGCTTCTATTCTGATAGCTCCTGCATCACCCAGAGGATTTTAAGGCAACTCATTAAAGGTTTTGTGTTTCAGTCCTCCCTGACCCACCTACATGGCATAATAGAATTGTGCATTCTAAAGGATGGGTAACTTTAAAAGGAGGGTTATTTGTGGTTAAAAGTAGGATAAATAGAACAGTGCCAACTGCCTTTTCCTCTAGTCTTCCGTCCTTGGTCCCTGGGCTGAATTGTCTCATATTTAGGTGCTCACTCCTGGGAATGGATGTATCTGGTGTCAATGTGGTTGGACACCATCCTGGATGACGGCTGAGTGTGCTGGATCCTTACCACGTCTTCAGCCTGGGGAAAGTGGAAGAGGTTGGCTTACAAAACAGCATTAGGAAGCATGCGACATTAGTAAGCATCTCACCTTAGGTCTGAGGCTGTCTTGTCAGGCCCTACTGCCCAAAGAGGCTGCTCCTCAAGACTGTTTCATGTGAAGCAGAGCTTATCTTTCATTGGCTTATGTATCCCTAAAACCCACCCAAAGGCGCAAGGCTTGATTATAATTGGCTTAACCATTTCAGTTTGCTTAGAGAGATAGAAGCTTAACTAACAAGAAGAATAGCATAAAATTATCTCTGACTCATTTATTTAGAATAATATAATCTAAATCAAAACATACTCAACATTTAGCTGTGAATCAATAACTGCTCTAAAGGATAAAGACTATATAAAAATACTCAATATGTATACCATAATGTTAATTAATTAATTCACTTATTTGATAAACATTTATTGACTGCCTCTTATGGGTACTAGTGGCATAATAGTGAATAAGTGTAGTCCACTGCTGTCATGAAGTTTATAATCTAGTAGGGGAGATGAGAAAATCAAATAATCATATAAATGTAAAAACTACTGTCATCATTGCTTCTTACGAGAAGTCCATGGCTAAGAGAATGTGTAATGAATATACCAGGAAAATCTGGTCTGATGGATGAGTTTTCTGGACAAAAAAGGAAGGAAGTTTGTTCTTGGCAGAAGAAGGAGGATGTGCAAATGCCCTGGGGTAGAAGAGAGCATGAAATGAGGTCAGAGGGAGAGAACCAGGGAGAACATGGGGCGTGGAAAGGAAGGCAAGGGCCAAACCTTACAAACCAAACCACGTTAAGGATTGTGTTTTTAGCTAACAAACCAGGGGCAAGATTTGTATTATAGACAAGAACGAATGTAGATTTACATTTTAAAAAGATCGTGTTGGCTGCAGTGTGGATGATGACAGGTGGGTGTGACAAGAATAGCTGCAGGCTGGTGAGACAGCTATTGCAGAGGTCCGGTGAGATGTGGACGGGTGTGGACGAGGATGGCAAGACTGGAGATGAAGATAAGTGGGAAGATTTGAGAAATACTGAGGCAGGAGGATGGCAGGACTTGGTTGGGGTGGTTCGGGAGAGGTGCCTGCTGGGTCTGTGTCTTGCAGAACTGGCTGGGGAAGCAGCTCTGGTGGTGGATTGGGTTTGTGCAAGAAGCCATGAGTTCAGTCAGGACATGCTGAGACTGAGGCAACTCAGATATTCAAGAGACACGGAGGTCAGAGGAGAAGCCTGGGCTTGGAGAGAAAAATTGCAAGTCACTGTGGTAGAAGAAACAGAGATGAGGAACGAGTGCAGGGTTAGAGGAGAAGAGGGCCTAGAACAGCACCTCTAGAAACTACACCTTGCAGAGGCAGGCACAGAGCGAGAGCCTGCCCAGGAGTAGCTATAGTTCGGGGAGAAGGTCTCGAGCACACACCGGCTTGGAAGCCAAGTGAAGGAAGGATGGCTCGAGAGAGACTCAGGTCAGCTGAAAGCTCGGGTGAGCTACAGGCTGCTGAAGGTCTGCTGGCTTTAGAAACGTGGAGAGCATTGGGTCTTAACGAGAGCAGCCTCTGAAGATTAATGGCAGCAGAATCCACATGGGGGTGGCGATTGGAAGCAGAGATGGGGAAGTGGACATGACAACAAATCATAGAGCTGACTCTGGAGCTGCCTGGGTGTGCAGAGAGGTGAGAGTTAGGGCAGGAGGGGGATGTGGGATGGGGGGAGCAGGGGAGCTTGGAACAGGCTGCAAAGCTGCCAGCATCACATGCAGTTCCCGGAAGGCAGGCTCCCGAGCCCTGCCGAGGGACCGCCCTGCTGGGGGAGGGGCGGGTGCAGAGAGGAAGAGGGGAGGACGCCACAGCAGGTGAGAACTGTCTGGTTTGGAGGGTGAGGGCTTCCATTTTCCCTGTAAGGTAGGAGGCAAAGGCATCTGCCAGGAGTGCCGTATTGCAGGTTCAAGGAGAGCCATGGTCATTGGAATATCGGAGGAGAGTGAGGAAGTGAATTAAGGAGGAGGCGAGGGAGGCCAGCTGGTGAGACTCAGCCCCACCTGAGGCTGGCTCAGGCATTCACGGCAGACCCAGGCCACGCTGGGTGGCTCCTTGCTCCCTCCTTCCAAGGCCACATAAGCTCAATCATTGTTTCTGAAGATACACTCCCCAGTTGCCCAAAACCATGGCTGACACCACCTCTTCTTTCCACAGACGGTGCTCTTTTGGACCTGTGAGAAATACCCGCACTTTAAAGACTGGCAGGTCTTCAGCAAAGCATTCCTGCGCCTGGTGAGGAAGTTGCACAAGTGTGTGAGCCAGCACTTTCTGAAACACTATTTCGTCCGAAACAGTAACCTCCTTCGGTGCGCGAACTCGGGCGAACTGGACGCAGTGGCCCAAAAGCTGGCCTTCTTCCTGAAGAACCCCCAGATCAGCCTGCCCTGAGTGCTGCCCTGGCCTGGGTAGCCCTTGCACATTTCATTCAGGCTTGACCTCATTTTCTGGATGGTTCCTAAGCCAGGTGCCAGGATCCTGCCCAGGAGAGCGGAAGCACATGCACAGGAAATCACGTCCGAGCAGCAGCACTTAAGAGGGGAAGCTGTGCCCACGATGTCTGACCCAGGCCTCCCTGGAGCCAAGCGAGCATTTCAGCCCTAGCTACCTCTCTTGGGGACACCTGTCATCAAACTTCCCCAAGCTGCAGATTCCGAACTGATGACAGTTCTGAATTTATTTTCCCTTGCTCAGGCTCGAGCGTCTGACAGGGAGGATGGAGACAGAATCCCTGGAAGGCTAGACATTAGCCTGCTGCCCAGGAGTGCTCTCCAGCTCACTGGACATGGGCTCACCATGCCTCCCACGGAGCAGGCTGTGAGCCTATGGCACTGTGCTGGTGCCTTTCCAAGGGATGGCCTTGGATCAACACTAGGTGTCGCTGGCTGGCTGGGTGGCTGGTGATTGCGTGGGCCAGCGCCTGCAGCACTGATGGAGTGATTGCACCTGGTGTGTAAGCGCAGGTGCTTCCTGCAGCCCTGCAGCTTTCCTGGGCCGTGGGTCGTCGGCTTCCTGGTGTTCTCTGAGCAGAGAAGGAATGATTTTGATGGTAAGAGTAAGTCAGAGATGACAGCGCAGATCTGTCTGCCGCCTGAACCCAGCCACAGCCCTCTCTTTGCTTCCCATGCCATGGCGGGACTTCCTGATATTTATGCAAGGAACTCAGTACTGTGGTCTGCGTGGAATGACCTTGGCGTGGCTCATCTCCCAATACATTCCTTTACCCGCTTCATTCACTCACTCATTCATTGGTAAATAAATGTTCATTCGGGCACTTGGAATACGGCAAAGATGGACAAAGACTTCCCATGGTGGGGATAACACCCAATGGTGGAGACGAGCAATGAACAGCAGATTTGTAAACATGATGTTACAGGTGGAAGAGAATGCTCTGAAAGAAACAATGTTGAAATAGAGTCACAGAAAGGTCCAGGCAGGATGAAAATGCAAACAGTTAAAAGGGAAGGAAAGGTGACCGAGGGCAGGCCTGGAGGGGCTGGCAGGAGTCGGGTCACTTGGCCTTGTAAAGCCCGTGAGGAATCAGTATTTTATTCTAAGATCAAAGGTGTGACATTTGGCCTCTCCTGAAGCAGAGGGGTATCATGGTCTGACTTGCATTTTAAATGAACGTTCTTATAACTGCATAAAGAGCGTTGGGGCTCACACGAGAGCCAGGGGCACTGCAGTCCCTGGAGCCTCCCATCTGCAATCCCGCCCAGCCCCAGAAAGCAACGCATCCTGTGCAGCACAAGTGACCAGGAACTCCCAGAGGTCCTGGTGACACCTTGGTTTCTTCTGGCATTTTCTTAACTGCTTCTCAACTCAAGGGGCTCCTTTATGACTTTTGAATATTTCCCCCCAAATGTATATAACAAAGTGAAATTTCTAAAGCATGAACTACTGATTTTGTTTTGATGGAAATCCACATTTGGAAATGAAAATAATTATTTTTCAAAACTACTGTCACCGAATGGTGGGGGCCCTAGGTTATCACATAGGAAATCACCGTTTTAAAATGTTAGGGGGGGAAAAAGGTCTTTCCAAACATACAATAATGAACAAACTAGTGTTTTGTTAAATCATCAAAAAACTTGCATTCTCATTCTCATATTCTTGTATCTTGGGAAACATCATTTTTGAGAGGGTGGCAAATGTTTTTTTTTTTTTCTTTTTATGATGAAAACATCTTTTGTTTTCAACTCCTGACCTCCAGCAATCCGCCTGCCTCGGCCTCCTGGAGTGCTAGGATTACTGGCGTGAGCCACCTCCCGGCCTTGATGAAAACATTTTAAGCAAGTTTTAAAACAGCTATGTCGGCCGGGCGCGGTGGCTCACGCCTGTAATCCTAGCTCTTGGAGGCCGAGGCGCGGATTGCTCAAGGTCAGGAGTTCAAAACCAGCCTGAGCAAGAGCGAGACCCATCTCTACTATAAAATAGAAAGAAATTAATGGCCAACTGATATATATATAAAAAATAGCCGGGCATGGTGCTCATGCCTGTAGTCCAGCTACTCGGGAGGCTGAGGCAGAAGGATTGCTGGAGCCCAGGAGTTTGAGGTTGCTGGTGAGCTAGGCTGACACCACGGCACTCACTCTAGCTGGCCAACAAAGCGAGACTCTGTCTCAAAAAAAAAAAAAAAAAACAGCTATGTGGCCACAAAATGCAAAGTTGAAAGTGATGTTACATGACCAGCGCTGTGTGTGTGTGTGTGTGTAGAGAAAGAGGGAGTGACATTCGCCACAATTCGCCACAGTCAGATTCCGGAGACTCTTAACCTTTTCCCCAGGAGATCTGGGGGTCTCCGAGGAGGTAGGGCCGCCTGCAGATTCCTGCGCGTTCCCACTTATGGCCAGCAGAGGACAGCAGAGACCACATATGAAAAGATCCGGGTTCCACCCATACTTGTCCGCAGAGCCCGGCAGGTGTCACTCGTCTCAGCCCAGCGCTTACACCTGGCTCCTCCAAAACAGGGAACTAGGGACAGTGGATTCCAGCTGACGCTAAATTGTTGATTTTTCCTGCCATCTCAGCCCAAAACTAGCCTTAATGAAAAAAGTTCAGATATAAAAAGGGAGCTTATGAGGGGACAGTCCATTCTGGGGCCTGGAGCATTCCGCTTCATTGTTTGCGGGGACAGACTGCACAGCTCTGAGAAGTCTGATAACATGACTCCTTTATTCTAGTCAGTTTTTTTTTTAATTCTCCAGAAGAGCTTTTCCAACCTTCTGCCCTCTTCCAGGCACAGGACTAGCTTTACAGAGGAGTGGTTGGTACTCAGCCACTGCAGTTGACCTGCCAGCGTTTGCGTCCCTGTTCCGACACTGTGCTGTCCCCCTTCTCTCAGTCTTCCTTCTCTCCAGAACAAGCACTTTTATGGCCTGAGTCACTGGTAACTCCCCTGAATTCGTATGTTGAAGCCCTAACCCCCAGAACCTCAGAATGTGACTGTTTTTAAAGAAGTGATTAAGCTAAAATGAGGCCTTCGGGGTGGGCCCTGACCAATCTCACTGGCGTCGCCATGAGGAGAACAGAGGGCGCGGGCCGCGCGTGCGCAATGGCGGCGCCCACAAGCCCCCGAGGGAGGTTAGCCAAGCCGCGACCCTGGACTGCCGGGATCCAGGACTGTGAGGAATAAATTTCTGCAGTTCAAGCCTCCCAGTCTGTGGTCGTTTGTTATTTTCCTGTGGCCCCGGGAAACTATACACAGGTATCATGAGAGAACGCGTGTCCCATTGCCCTGGTGAAAGGAAGAAATGGAATCATGGATGTAAAAGGCTCTTAGTTTGGTGTCTGGCACCGGCCAACTGCTGAATCATCGTTTATCATTTTAGATGCCTACCCCTCGTGGCCGTTTGCCCACCTCTGCTGTTCCTGATAACCGTGCCCTCCCACATATAAATTCCTTATAGAGGAAATAGAAATGATCACAAGGAAAATGTGCAGAAAATTCCACTGCAAATTCCATACACCCATTTTCCCTTCCTCCCTCTTGCTATAATAGAGGAAGCACCTCTCCTGAAAGGCCAATTTCTCCATATGCACATGCTCGGACGCCCCCCAGCTCAGCCTCTCACAGTTATTCCCCGTGGTGTCGTCCACACCCTCCTGCAACTGCCGCCTGACTCTCTTCTCCCCCTTACTGTCCGGCTTCCCGAGCTATTATACCTCCGTCCCCACTTACTCATCACGTTCACACTTTTTTTGGTTGTGAAGGATATTCATACCTGTGAGAGTCTAACCTGTTTCAAGAATAATAATAAAACTAATATACCATACCTAGGTGAAAAGAATAGCACATTGCCAGTTCTTTAGAATTCTGATAGGTACCTCTTCCCTCCGCTAGCCTCCTCCCTCTCAGACATTGATGATCACAGGTACCCCAAATTTTGTGATCATCATTCTGCTGCTTTTCTTTATAGTTTTACCACCCACCATATTTCATTGAACTTAAGCTCCCAACGTTGTGAGATGCAGCATTATTTCACATCTAAGGTAGAGTACTGCTAATATAATTGTAAGACATCACCAGCTATAAGATGCATCCCAATTTTGAAGAGATTAAAATGTCAAAAAAAAAAAAAGTATGTCTTAGAATGAACAAAGTATGACCTGCATTCATCCCAAACTGTGTTTTCAGTTTTGCCCATTTCTGAGCTATATATGAATGGAATCATACTGTATGAAGTCTTCTGTGATTGCTTCTTATGTCCACGGTATGTTTTTGAGCTTTCCATGTATATGCATGTGACAGTGGTTTGTTGCTTTCATTGCTGCATACTATACCACTGTAGGACTCAGCCACACTTTATATGTTACTGTAATTGGGCATTTGGGTTGTTTCTACGCTTAGTGATTTGAACTATGTTTTTGTGCACATTCTTATACATGTCTTCTGATGCACACAAGTCTGTTATGGGTATATACATAAGAATATTGGGTTCACAGAACATATGCATGTTTAAATTTACTATGGAATGTCAAAATATTTTCCAAAGTGATTACACCAATATAAGTTCTCTATTTTAATGTAAGAGAATTTTCAGAGACTTTCTCCATTAGATTGGAGCATATTTTGCATCTTGTTTAAGAATTCCTTCCCTTTTTTAAGGTCATAGGGATGTGTTCCTATATTGTTCTCTAGAATTTTATAGTTGTGCCTTTCACCTGAGTTAGGAACTCCTATTCTATTTCAGTAATATTGGTAAAATCTCTTTGCTTGAAAGTTTTGATATAATTCACCTAAAAAACTGGCTAGGCCTTGTATTTTCCCTGGCAGATGGTTTTAAACTATTAATTCATTTTCTTTTAGGGATAGAGATGTTCAGGTTTTCTATTTCTTCATTAGCAGGTGTTGTCAATTTGTATTTTACTAGGAATTTCTTCATTTCGTCTGTTTCCAAATTTACTAGCATTTACTAGCATCATCATATTTTATTATCTAAATTGTGATGATCTGTATTCATCTTTTTTGATAAATCTGTTAGACATTTATCAAAGAATAATTGTTGGTTTTGTTGATCCTATACATACTATGTTTTCCATTTCATTAATTTCTACTCATATCTTTGTTTTTTTTCCCTCTACTTTCTATAGGTTTATTCTTATGTTCTTTTTAATAACCTCTTCAACTAGGTGCTTAGCTTAGAAATTCTCAGCCTTTCATCCTTTCTAAGTATATAAATTTCCTGTTAGGCCGGGCGCTGTGGCTCACGCCTGTAATCCTAGCTCTTGGGAGGCCGAGGCGGGTGGATTGCTCAAGGTCAGGAGTTCAAAACCAGCCTGAGCGAGACCCCGTCTCTACTATAAATAGAAAGAAATTAATTGGCCAACTGATATATATATAAAAAAATTAGCCGGGCATGGTGGCGCATGCCTGTAGTCCCAGCTACCCGGGAGGCTGAGGCAGAAGGATCACTGGAGCCCAGGAGTTTGAGGTTGCTGTGAGCTAGGCTGACGCCTCGGCACTCACTCTAGCCCGGGCAACAAAGTGAGACTCTGTCTCAAAAAAAAAAAAAAAAAAAAAATTTCCTGTTAATTCCATCTTAGTGAAATTCCATAGGTTGTAGTATATTTTATTTTCATCTTACTTCAGTTCTATTATATTTATTGTTTAATTTCTACAATTGTTTTAAAAAATTATTGTTTCCAAACGTTGAGTTTTCTAGTTATAATCTTGTTATTACTGATTTCTCACTAAATTGCAATTATAATCCTAGAAAATGACCTGAAAGACTTCAATCTCTTGACATTTATTGAGTCCAGCTTTTTAGCTTAGCAAATGCCTCATTGTTCTATGTGCATATGAGGAAGGCATACAAGTTTAGATGTAATGTTTAATAAATGTCAGTTAGATTGTATACTGCTCAAATTTTCTTTATTTTACAGGTGGGTTTTTTTGCTGCATTTTCGGACATTTACTAAAAGAGTTGTTTTAAAATCTACCATTATTGTCATGGATTTTTAATTTCACCTTATAGTTTCATCAAATTTGTGATTAATGTACTTTGAGATTATACTATTAGGGACATGCAGGTTTAGAATTTTTATATCTTCTCAGTTAATTGAAGCTTTTATCACTATAAAGTGACCTTTTTTAAACTCTTGTAAACATTTTCTCTAAATATTGATTTTGCCTGATATTAAAATAGTAACATCTCTTTATTTTAGTTAGTAGTTGCCTAGGATATCTTTTTCCATCCTTTGATTTTCAATCTGTGTCTTTATATTATTGATAACTATGTTTTTTGTAAATGGCTAATTAAAAAAACAAAACCCTGTCTGACAGTTGAGGTCTTTTGACTTTATCTTTAATCCATTTTTATATTTATTCTGATCAGTAATATATTTGGATTCATTGCTACTCTTTTATTATTGACTTTCTATCTGACCCATTTTATAAATCTTCCTATACCTTCCACCCTACCTTCTTGTCATTTTTTAAATTAAAAGGGTTTTTTCCCTCATTCCTTTTTCCTCTCACTGGTTTGGCAAGTCCATACCCTATATTTGTTTCTTATATATCTATATGTGTAGTTACCAAGGCTATCTACATATATAGACTAAATTCTGTAGATTAAAGTAAGAAGTTAATCAATATCTTTATTCTCCTTCCTAACAAGGACCCTGGAAGGCTTTGGCTCCTTTCACTTTCCACCCCCATTATCTACTGTTGTCATCTAGGATTTGGGTTCCAGCCTGTT